ACAACAGGGATTGGAACCCAGGTCTTTTGCCTCCAAATGCAGAGATTTTTTTTTTTTATCGTGCTGTGCAGGCTCTGTGTGTGTCCTTCAGGTGGGTCGGGAGACAGCAAAGGGCAGCCTCAGGTTTGAAAGGGTGGGGAGGGAGTGGGCACAGGATTAATGTCTGTGTGTGTGACGAGAAGGAAACTGCATGATATGAAATCCTGTTGACATTGATGCTGATAATAGTAATGCTAATGACAGTCATTTCTGTGAATTATTTACTACTTTCATTTCATGAGCTTGTAGCACAATAATCCTGAAACGTAGGAAATGAGTCTGGTGGACTTGTTGTAAGTTATATTTGATTGTAACAATGAGTAAGCTCTCTGTCCCCACGTTCTTTGTCTTGTCAAACATGCCGACTCACGCCTTTAAGATACTAGACAGAACAGTGATGGGTGGGTCACACTTGTGATGGTAACAAGGTTGGATAATAGAAAATGCTTCAATGGTATACAGCCTGGTAATTTTTCAGAAAAGGACTGTGACATAGTAGAAAGATTGGCCTAAAAGGAAGGAGGGGATGGGGCCCTGGGCTTCGGGGCTGTAGTTTTCACATCTGTAAAATGAGGGTGAGCTCTAAGGTCTCTCGAAGTTTGAAATGACTAAGGCACTATGACAGCAAGTCCCATTTGGACAATGTGGTACAGGGGAAAGAACACTACCTCTGGACTTGGAGGAGTCAGAAGACCCGAGTTCAAATCCTGCCATGGGCACTCACTACCTTTGTGACCTTGGGTAACTCACCTAATCTTTTTGGGCTTTGGTTTCCTCGACGCAATGAGGGGGTTGGATCAGATGGTCTCTGGGGTCCCATCTAGTTCTATGATCTATATTTTTATATTTTGTTTATGTTATTGTTTCTATTATTGTTCAGTGTGGTAGAGAGATCCACTTGGCAAAAGGATAAGCCTTTGCCTTGAATTGTCAGTATACTCTGCCCTTTAAAAATGCACATAAGCTCGGCAGCCTCACGCCTGAGTTTACTCTAGGTGTTTACTTGTAATTAGTTTATGCAGCGACAATTCTGGGTAATTAACTAGCAAGTAGAGAGCAACTTAAGGTTTGCAGAGTGTTTACTTTGCATTATCTAATTTGATCCTCACTACAACTCTGCAATAAAAGTATTATCATGGTCCCCATTTTACATTTGAGGAAACTGAGGCAGACAGCGATTATGGGAGTTGTCTAGGGTAACCCAGCTAGAAAGTGCCTGAGGCAGGATCTGAACTTGGATTTTCCTGATTCCAGGCCTGGCACACAAACTTGCACATTTGTAAAGTGCTTTCCTATCGGGCACATGGTGCACATAACTCTATTCCCTTTTTTTTCTCATCCCATGGCTACATGAGTGGTAAGGACAAGAGCCGGGATTTGAACCTGGGTCTCTTGACTCAACATCTTGCGCTTAGTCTGCTGTTCCCATGCTGAATTGTAGGATGGGCTCGTAGAGTCATAGGGGCGTAGACTCAGAGCAGAGAGAGACCTTACAGGTCATTAAGTCTAACCCCCTCATTTTACATATAAGGATACTGAGGCCCACAAAGCTTTAGGGACTTGCTAAAGACAAGCGCTGGGCCTGGAGTCAGCACTTACTAGCTGTGTGACCTGGGACAAGTCACTTCTGTTTGCCTCAGTTTCCTCATATGTAAAATGAGGATGATAATAATAACACCTGCCCTGTAGGATTGTTGTTGGAACTGAATGAGATGTGCAGTACCTGGCACAAAGTAAGTGCTTGATAAATGCTTATTCCCTGCACTTCCCTTGCCCAAAGTCACACAACAAGTGACAGAGGCTACATTTGAATTCAGGTCTTTGGACTCCTAAGCTAGAACTTTTTAGCTGTGAACTGAAACCATGGTCCATGAGAGTCTGTGGAGTTACTCCCCTTTATGTCCAGACTGTCTTACTCAGAGGTAGGGGGATGAACCACATGACTTCTGAGGCCTCTTCTGTCTTATAGACTGTCTCTGGTCCTCTAGCCTTTGAGAATTGGAGCCATGAGGGGTAGAGAATAAAAGGTGGGTCTAGAATCAGATCAATTTGGCCCTCAATCCCACCCTCTAACATTTATTATGAATGATGTATGATAGGCAGGTCACTTGAATTTTCAGAATTTCTGTTACTTTCTCTGTAAAATGGGGATAATAATGCCTGCATTGTTGTCTTCTTGGGGTTGTTGTGAAGTGCAAATGGGATTATGTAAGTGACTTTACAAAGTTTACAATGTCACTTAATTGAGTTGTTGACCAGAGGGCTTCCAGTGAAAAGGAGGGGACCTGACCATCTTGATCTCAGGCACTTATTTGCAAGTTCAGGCTGAGATGCTCTCATGTCCCCTCATACAGTCTGCAGCCTTATCTTTCCCCTTCCAGGCTCTGAGTCATGGTCAGGGAGAAGTGACCCCAAAGGTTCTCCAGAATCTAGATAATGAGCTTAGAGGGCTGAGACAGGAAATCTCTCCCTGGACAGCCGGCTCTCTGACAGCTGCCATGGTGATGGCTTAATGGGGAGCTTGAATGGGACCACGTTGGAGCCAGAGGCCTGAGGCACCACTTCCAGGCAAGACAGACAGAGAGGAGGCTGTGCTCGGGCTCCTGCGCATTAAGTAGTCAGCTCCTGTCTGCTACTGTTGGCTCAGGCTGGGATGGGCTGTAATTGACTGGAACGAGGAGGATTGCTCTTTTCTAATCAACGAGCCCTCCCTGAGTGCCTGCTGGATGCCCTGAGCTGTGAAGGCAAAGCCATAGGAACCGAGCCTGTGATTGCCTGGATGGAGGGGCATCTTGGGTGAGGAAACTCCTTCTGCCCATGCAGACCAGTGCCACCTTTTCAACATATGATCTTAGAAAGTTCTCTAGAAAACTGAGAGTCACTTGTCCAGGGTCACCTAGCCATCCATGCATTAATCGATTCGTTATTTAGAGGGCTTCTCATAGAAAGGAGGTGACAGCCTGGTGGCACAATGGATAGTGCACCAGGCCTTGGAGTTAGGAAGACCTGAGTTCCAATCCAGCCTCAGACACTTACTAGCCGTGTGACCCTGGGCAAGTCATTTAACCCTGTTTGCCTCCATTTCTTCATCTGTAAAACAAGCAGGAGAAGGAAATGGTAAACCACTCCAGTATCTTTGCCAAGAAAATCCCAGTGGAGTCCCAAGGAGCTGCACACAACTGAAATGACTCATCAACAACGAAAACAACAACAGATGATCTTCATCTCAATTCTTACCTGTAGTTTCTGACTGATCTTCTCCCATGTCTCCCTCACATAGTCTAATGTTGTATCTGATCCTGAGACTTGAACACAGGACCTCTTGGCTTCAATACCTGCTCTTTCACCCCATGTGTCATTGATATAATGATGAAAACTAAACAATTCCTACCCTCAAGGAACTTACATTCAACTGGAAGAAATAATGTATACAAGATAAAAAAAAATTACAAATAGACATAAAATTAGTATGAAGAGGGAGGGGCAATCAGGAAAGGCTCCCATGGCAATTAAACTGGTCTTGAAGAGAGCTAATGGTTCCAAAAGACAAAGATGAAGAGGGAAGGCATTCCAGGCTTGGGGAACATCTCTATATCAATGCCAAAGCATATAGGCAGGAGATGGAATGTCAGGTACGGTAGATGACAAGAAGACCAGATGCACTGGAACACTGGGTGGAATTTTTTTTTTTGAGGAAGTTGGATTTGAGTGACTTGTCCAGGGTCACACAGCTAGTAAGTGTCAAATGTCTGAGGCCAGATTTGAACTCAGGTCCTCCTGACTCCAGGGCTGGTACTCTATCCATTGAGCCACCTAGCTGTCCCAAACAACAGTTTGGAAAGGATAGATCAGAGCCATATTGAGAAAGAAAACCAAATAGAGGAGTTAGTGTCTTAGATTTCAGGCAGTTGGGAGCCCCTGAAGCTTCTTGAGCCTTGGAGTGACGTGGCAAAACCTGGGCCTTTAGGAGTCTCAGTTTAGCAACTGTAAGGAGAGTGGAGACAACCCGAGGCAGGAAAACCAGTGGAAATCATCCAGGTGAGAGGTCATGATGGCCTGCATCAGGGACTAGCCATGTGAGGCCAAAGGGAAAGGGACAGATGTGAGAGATTGTGGAAAAAGAATAATGGCAGGGACAATGGCTTCCATTTACACTGTGCTTTACCTTTAGGTGATGGGGTGAATAGAGAAGGAAATTTCAGTCAAAGACCTGAGTTCAAACTTGGCCTCAGATACTGACTTCCTATGTGCCTAGGTTCAAGTAACTTACCCTTTGTCTACCTCAGTTTCCTCATCTATAAAATGGAGATGGTAATAGGACTTACCTTTTAGGGACATCGTGAGGATAAAATGAGATACTGGTAAAGTGCTTTGCAAACTTTTAAGTGCTATAAAAATGCTATTTCTCATCATCAGCATTGTTCCCATGCACATTAGATACGTTGCCTCACTGGGTCCTCCTATCAGTCCTCAAAGGAGGCATTTCAAATGTTATTGTAACCATTTTAAAGTTAAGGAAACAGGCTGAAAGATGTTTCATGACATGCCCAGGGTCATAGGGCTAGAAAGTGGAGCAACTGGAACTTGAAAATTGGTAATGTTTCTTATGCATTCCAGCCTTAATATGGAACCAGATTACAGTTTGCAGTCTACTGCACTAATTAATTTTATTTTGTTAGACTCTAGAGTTTAATATGCAAATGTATGCAAATCAGATGGTAGTTGTATTCTGAGCCAGAACTCTTTCACTTTTTCTTTTTCTTTTCTTTCTTTCTTCCTTTTTCCCCACTGGGACTGCACCATTGGGGTGGAAAGTGACATAACAAATATTGCCAGCATTTGAAGCTGCCTGTTAAACAAATCAATTGATTGAAGAGTATCTAAGAATATTTCTTCTTCCTCTGATAAAGCTTGCTCAGACTGACATTTCTCTCTTTCTCTCTCTCTGTCTCATGAAACAGAATGAAGAAGATGAGCAACATATATGAATCAGCCGCCAATACACTGGGAATCTTTAGCAGTCCCTGCCTGACCAAAGTTGAGCTGCGGGTAGCGTGCAAGGGGATTTCTGACAGAGATGCCCTTTCAAAGCCAGACCCCTGTGTCATTCTCAAAATGCAGTCCCACGGGCAGTGGTTTGAGGTATGTATTCCAGGAAAGGAGGAGGAGAACGTCAGCATGATTTGGTTTTAAAATCCATATTGACTTTCTCTGGCTTTAACGTATGAAAGACCAAGGCTGAGTTGGGATCTGCTAGAAATAAATGCAATAGAATACTGTGATAACATGGCTTGTTGATATGATCATCTCTTTAGCACCCAACTGGCAGAGTGGAAAGCATGGGCTAAACTCGAAGCCAGCAAGATCCAGATTCAAGTCATGTCTTTGTCATCTACTGGCTAGGTGTCCCAGAGCAAGTTTCTTCACCTTTCAGCCCTGCGGACAATTCTCTGAGACTCTTAAGATTCAGAAAAGATGCCCACTTCCATTGGATATAGAGATTTCCCAACTCCATTGAAATTGTAGTCCACCGAATGCTTACTTGAGTAGAACACTTAGTATGCATAGGAATATAACTTCTCTAGACATGATGATTGGGCATAGCCCATGCCTTTAGAACCTTTATTCCATTTATGTGCCTTGAGGGAAGGGACTATGCCTTATTTATCCTTTAATCTCCCCCCATCAACTAGTGTAAAGCTGAAAGTATTCTCTCCTTCCTTAAATTGTTTTAGAGTACTGTGTATCTTTGCTTTGTCCCTATCACTCCCTACCTTGTGCCATACTAAATTGTGTGCAACTTTGTGTGAAGGTAAGCTTCCTGAGGTCAAGGTCTCTCTTGTTTTTGTATTCATATGGCCAACACTTAGCTCCATACCAGGTGCTTATTCAGTATTTTGTTGAGTTGAATTTGTTGAATGAATGAATGAAATAATGATTTAGAGCCTGCATCTAATATGTACATAATATAGATGATAGTACAAGGTAGGACACAAAAGGCCAAATGAATTAAGCAGATGGTACATGATGCCGTTGCTGTCCCAGAAATGAATTCAACAAGAATCCATTGCAACATGTCTTCCTTATTATACGAATAAGAACTTACCAGAGTCAAAAAATATCATGTCCCCAGAACAGAGAGATAAACAGCTAAAGCTGGACAAACCGTGATTTGTTTATCATGCTATCACTTTGAGCGACTCAATAGGAGTCTGCCATCCACACAGTTAGCATAATGTGTTTTTAATAATTCAGTGTCTCTACAGGAATGGGTTAGTCCTTGGTTCTCTGCACCAAAGCTGCAGGAAAAGTTTGAAATAACGTAATCCCAAATACATTTATATGGGGCTTTGGAATGTGGTCAGATTGGAGAGGGGGAAGATTTCTCCTTTGCTAAAGGACATTCCGTTGTCCTAGCCTGGGATGCAAGGAATTATTGTATTACTTTTGTCATAATAATGTGTTGTTGATACCATAATAATGTATAATAATATTTATTATCATGTCTATACTTGGACGCACACTGAATTCCCACATACTCAAGTGATTTGATGCAAGACTCATTTTATGACTGATCTGTGACCATTCCTTCTCCTGCCTCATCCCTTTGGTGGGGGGGGGGGGCAGAGGAATTAACTAGGCTGTAGTAGGCATCCGACAGATAATCCACAGATAATCCACAAAACAGTGGCTTACTCCCAGATAATTGAAAATTCATCTTGTGTCTTACACCCTTTGTTCTATGAATTCATTCACTTTGTGCCTGGGAGAGAAACTGAAAGAAGAGTGAGCCATGGTTTCCTTTGCCCACTTGAATTGATACCAGTAGAGCTTTGGCCAGGTCTGTTTCTGATGAATTGTACTTGTCTTTGCAGATTCTAAGGTCAGGACTTGGTGAAGGTCTGCATTTATATTTGTAGACTTTGTGGCATGTAGTGATTTTTGTAGTGGGAACTTTACCCTAAAGGTTTGAGTGCTCTCGAACATTCTCAGTTGTTTATTCAGTAGTGTTTCAGCTTCGATTCAGCCCGTGGACATTAAAAGTCAGAGTTGATAGGTTTGAACCAGAGTGTAGGTGGATAAACACTGGCTAGGGAGACAAAAGCCCTGTGTTCAAATCTAATTTAGCTCTGCTGCTTCCTAACTATGTAACCCTTGGTAAACCTAACTAACCTACTCAGAGGGTTAACATAGAACTCTAAACCACTCAGAGGATTTAGAACTGGTAGGAATCCCATCTAGTCCCACCCTTTTCATTGTACAGCTTATAAAGCAAAGCCTTAACAGATCAACATGATTTGTCCAAGATTATATAGGTTGATAGTAAGACAGAGGTCCTCTGGCTTCAATCCCAGTATTCTTCCCATGATGCCACACCTTGGATGCCAATCAGCTCACTTTCTACTCTTGCTATTGCTTCATTTCATTGGGGTTGGGAATTCTCAGTGTGGACTCTGCTGATAATGATTGGCAACTCATTGGCAATTTATTATCTGAGATAGCTGCCTAGAGTGGTGAGAGTTTAAATGACTTACCTGCCTAGGTAGTATGTGTGTGTCAGAGATGGAACTGGAATCCAGTTCTTCCTAGCTCCAAGTCTCTTCTATTCACTCAGCCCTTCATATAGACAAGTGTACACAATATAATTTTAAGATAGAGAAAACACTAATGATGTTGGCAGGGGGTGTGTTGGGAATCTGAAAAGGCTTTCAGTTCAATGCCCCTGCTTCTGTGGGAGGCAGCCAGGGGGAGAAGCCCATAAAGTTCTGGATTTAGAATCAGGAAGACCTGAATTCAAATCTTGATTCATATGAAAAGTATATATGAGATTTTTAGTGGTCTTGGCAAAATCTTTTATCCACATAAAGAGATTACATAGCATTCACAGGAAAGTGGGTGATTAGAGGCACTGGGCATGAGGGGCTCACATCTGCCCTCTCAGATGCTGTCCTCTGGCATGCCCTCAAAGAAGGGGTATATGTTCAGTTGAGGTGGTCACATTACTTCTTTTCTCTTATTAGAAGTCAAACTATCTTCTGTTGTTTTTGTCTCTGCGCTCCCACTGCCTAGCAGAGAGCTCAGCACATAGTAGGTGCTTAGTAAAGGCTTGTTGAATTGCAGCAATTCTGTCCCAGCTATTCCCGGATTAATATAAATGGGTCAGGGGGAGAAATGGGTCTAAGTCTCATGGCTCTTTCATGCACATAATGGCAAGGAGCTGTGATTCTCCCGGCATAGGGAGGGAAGGACATGGGGTCTAAACAGGAAATCGTCTTGAAATGTTTCCATTTTTAAATCTATTGTTGATTCTTTTGACACTCCACTGTCAAGAAGCATAGACATGATTTAAGAAAGGATGCACAGGAATTTGAAAAATCCAGCTGATGGACATGACTTCAGGGATATTTGTCAATTGCAGGGATGGGCAGAAGTGGAAAAAAAATATCAAATTACAGTACTGTAGCTAGAAATCACAAGTGAGCTCCTTCCTCATAAAACTTTGTTTTCACACTTTGCTGACTTGCTGTGGTTGGGGAACTCACACCTCGCAAGACAGATGATAAAGAACACCAACAGTTTTAACGAAGTTTCCAAAGTGGCTTCACATCAAAATCCCATTTGGGAAAACTTTAAGGTTGTTCTCTGCCTCCCCCTTCACACATTCTTAATAAGAATAATTTATTTTCATTCTGTAAAAAGTTGACACCCAGTTGAAAATGAAACATTGTAGCTAGAAAAATATTTCTTCCCTGGTTGCCTCGAGTCAGAGAGAACAATGGATTCAGAAACAGAAGACCTTGGGTTCTAATTCCTAGCTCTTCCATCTCTTGACCATGTGACCTTGAGCAAGTCACCTTGTCTCTCAAGGTGTCAGTTTTTACTTGGAAGACCTGAGTTCAAATCCAGCCTCAGACACATGGTAACTATGTGACCCTGGGCAAGTCACTTAACTCTGTTTACCTCAGTGTCCTCATCTGCAAAGTGAGAACAGAAAGGCAACCTACTTTAGCGTGTCTGCCAAGAAAACCCTAAATGGAGTCACGAAGAGTCAGACATGACTAAAAAATGACTGAACGCCAGCAACAGAAGTACATAAGAAAGGCACAGCGATCTGTGAGATCTAAGGGCAGAGGTGGCGGTGAGGGGCAGAGAGATGAAGAACTCTTTGTTCCTGCCATCATCTCTGGCCACCTACATGGGTGAACTGAACTTCTTCCTTCTACTCACCGCCTTTGGAAGAAGATGAATAGGCTTTGGATTTGTGTGTTCCATTTTCCTGTATTCTCTAATCTGTAGACTGGAAAGCTCAGCAAAAAAAAAAAAACAACATGCTGATAATCTTAACTTTCCATCTGTGTCTCCACTGCCAATCAGTGTTCCCATGGTTTGGCAGGATCATGAGAGGCGTGACAAGGAAGCTCACTCCTTCTGCAAACTCTGGAAGTCTTTTAGGTCAGGTTGCAGGCTAATTCAATATTTTATCTCCATCTGAGCTAAGGAATGTTTGAGTTCCTATCTCCGGATGGTATGCTTTTAAACACTTAATATATTTCTGGGGCTTTTTCTTAGCTCAGAATTCAACCTACTGTGCTTTTTTCTTTCTTTCTGAGTGTAAAGACCAATTCTCAGGGAGGGATTATAGTCTTGTAAAGTTTTGTATCAAAGAGAGAAACTGAAACATAATTTTCTTTAAAGAAAATTTTAAAATGTTTTTCCTTTTGGAATAATTTCCTAAGAGTGGGGATAGGTACCAGGGATGATTTTTTTTGAAATTTTCTGTCATTTAAAGGCTGCCTCATTCAGTCTGGGAAGTGCTAACATGAAGCACTTACCGGTTTCCGGAGGAATTAGTTAGCTCCTGAAAACCCCATGGACACTGAAGGGTATTGTTCTTGGCTTTTTTCTTTTTTGTTGTAAGGGATGGCTCCCTGGATGACATAAGGGAAGGGATGTATTAGGAAAATTAGGTGATAGAAGAACAGAAGCGATCCATACAAATTTTATTTAAATTGTTTTTATATAATAGCATTATGGTCTTGTGGGCAGGGAGGTTCATCATGAAATAGGAAAAAGGTAAATTTGGGTCACTACTTTACATAGTAACCTTTGGAAACCTAAGATAACTGTTATCCAGAGATATG